GGCCCCTGTGATGCTTGTGCTCCATATGCTTTATGGAAATATGCTTATGAATATGACATAACTGGAATATACTTTATGCTAAATACCCCTTGTATGGTGTTTCTAGAAAGCTTGTAATCTACTAAGTGTGTTCATCATATTTCTTTGCCTATATTATTTCTATATCTGGAGTTAGGAGAATAAGATATAAACTTTTATCACTGATGTAAACATATTAAGTGGAGGCCATTAAAGGTGCTCCAGAAACAATTGGTTGTAAATCGCCTTCGTTACTTGAAAACCTTCCTGTGTAAGTGTGGGTCAGCCCATGGGAAATGCAGACTAGGGGGTCTTACAGTGACATGCGACCATGTCACCTGATAATGAAATCCATCTTAAACCTGGTACTTTTCCATTTAGAAGGAGGGATGGGACCCAGAGAGACAAAAGATTTCTGCCTTGTGCCAAAGCTATAAAAGGGGGTGGAGCAGGAAAAGGGGCTGCCAGTCATGAGAAAACTACTGCTTACCACCTGAGATGTCTGCTGGATCTAACAAAGACTGTACCTGGGGAAAGGTTTGGGCCCGGACTAGAAAGGAGTCTAGTCTGTGAAGGAAGCTTATTGGAACATCTTTGAGGTTGAGATATTACCTGTAATCAGTTTCTTAATGTATTTAGTTTAGACTTGCGTGTTTTGTTTTATTTTGCTTTGTGACCTACTTTGTTCTGGTTTTTATTACTTGAAACCACTTAAATCTTACTCTTTATACTTAATAAAATCACTTTTATTTATTAATAAACCCAGAGTAAGTGATTAATACCTGGGGGAGCAAACAGCTGTGCATATCTCTCTATAAGTGATATAGAGGGCGAACAATTTATGAATTTACCCTGTATAAGCTTTATACAGAGTAAAATGGATGTATTTGAGGTTTGGATCCCATTGGAAGCTGCGTGTCTGGGTGCTGGAGACAGGTAACCTGCTGATCTGTTTTTAGTTAAAGTCTGCAGCTTTGGGAGCATGGCCCAGACCCTGGGTCTGTGTTGCAGCAGGCTGGCACGTCTGGCTCAACAAGGCAGGGTTCTGGAGACCCAAGCTGGCAGTGAAAACTGGCTCAGAGGTAATTTCAGCATGTCAGGTGACAATCCCAAGTGGTCTCTGTGACTGAACCGTCACACCCCCACCCAGCAATCTGGGAAAACTAGACCACTCCAGGTGCCTCTAAGGGTATGTCTACACTATGGGATTACTCCGAATTTACAGAATTCGATTTTTGGCAACAGACTGTATAAAGTCGAGTGCATGCGGCCACACTAAGCACATTAATTCGGCAGTGTGCTTCCATGTACCGAGGCTAGTGTCGACTTCCTGAGTGTTGCACTCAGGAAGTCGACACCTCCCATAGCTATCCCATAGTTCCCGCAGTCTTCCCACCCATTGGAATTCTGGGTTGAGATCCCAATGTCTGATGGGGCAAAAACATTGTCACTGGTGGTTCTGGGTACAGCCTCCCCCCTCCCTCTGTGAAAGCAATGGCAGACAACTGATTCATGCCTTTTTTCCTGGGTGAACCGTGCAGACGCCATACTACAGCAAGCATGGAGCCCGCTCAGCCAAGATAGCAGCCATGAACATTGTAAACACCTCGCGCATTATCGTGCAGTTTATGCTGAACCTGAACCTGAAAAACCAGGCGAGGAGGAGGCGGTGACGGCAGCGCGGCGATGAGAGTGATGAGGACATGGACACAGAATTCTCTCAAACCACGGGCCCCGGCGCTTTGGAGATCATGCTGTTAATGGGGAAGGTTCTAGCCATGGAACGCCAATTCTGGGCCCAGGAAACAAGCACAGACTGGTGGGACCGCATAGTGTTGCAGGTGTGGGATGATTCCCAGTGGCTGCGAAACTTTCACATGCGTAAGGGCACTTTCATGGAACTTTGTGACTTGCTTTCCTCTGCCCTGAAGCGCCAGAATACCAAGATGAGAGCAGCCCTCACAGTTGAGACGTGAATGGCGATAGCCCCGTGGAAGCTTGCAATGCCAGACGGCTACTGGTCAGTCGGGAATCAATTTGGAGTGGGCAAATCTACTGTGGGGGCTGCTGTGATGCAAGTAGCCAAAGCAATCACTGAGCTGCTGCTACCAAAGGTAGTGACTCTGGGAAATGTGCAGGTCATAGTAGATGGCTTTGCTGCAATGGGATTCCCTAACTGTGGTGGGGCGATAGATGGAACCCATATCCCTATCCTGGCACCGGAGCACCAGGGCAGCCAGGACATAAACCGCAAGAGGTACTTTTCAATGGTGCTGCCAGCACTGGTGGATCACAAGGGACGTTTCACCAACATCAACGTGGGGTGGCCGGGAAGGGTTCATGACGCTCGTGTCTTCAGGAACACTAGTCTGTTTAAATGGCTGCAGCAAGGGATTTACTTCCCAGACCTGAAAATAACCATTGGGGATGTTGACGTGCCTATAGTTATCCTTGGGTCTCAGCCTATCCCTTAATGCCATGGCTCATGAAGCCATACACAGGCAGCCTGGACAGTAGTCAGGAGCTGTTCAACTACAGGCTGAGTAAGTGCAGAATGGTGGTAGAATGTGCCTTTGGACGTTTAAAGGGTCGCTGGCACACTTTACTGACTCGCTCAGACCTCAGCCAAACCAATATTCCCATTGTTATCGCTGCTTGCTGTGTGCTCCACAATCTCTGTGAGAATAAGGGGGAGACATTTATGGCGGGGTAGGAGGCTGAGGCAAATCGCCTGTGTGACGAACTGGGACAGTTCTTAATGTGTTCTTTGAATGCTGAGTGGGGAGGTTGGCTGGGCTCAGTCTGCATTGGGGGATGGGAGACTGGCCTGGAGGGACGATATCTGAGCATGTAACATGAGAACCCAGGAGGGGGTTGGAGCGAGGTGAAAACTCTGCCCAGGAAATGGACAAAGGCTGGGGGAGTGAGAGACGCTGGAGAGGGTGGGAGTTTGGGAGCTGGCTGGTGACATGGAGGGAGGCCCAGATGGGGCTCTGCCGCCCCCTGGGGCTGTGGTGTCCCTGGGGCCCCTAGATGGACCAAACTAAGGGGGGTCCTGTTGTCTTTACCTGCAAGACCTGTCTGGGGCCGTGTTCCTGTCGTCTAAATAAACCTTCTGCTTTACTGGCTGGCTGAGAGTCATAGTGAATCGCAGGAAGCCGGGGGTGCAGGGCCTTGTGTCCCCCCACACTCCGTGACAGCCTGGCTGCTGATTACACGCAGCCAGACACCAGGGTGATTAGAAGAGCACACCAGGAAGCGCTGTGCATCAGAGAAGCTTTGAAAACCAGTTTCATGACTGGCCAGGCTATGGTGTGAAAGTTCTGTTTGTTTCTCCTTGATGAAAACCTGCCCCCTTGATTGACTCATTCCCTGTAAGCAACCCACCCTCCCCCTTCGATCACAGCTTGCTTTCAAAGGAAATAAAGTCACTATCGTTTAAAAATCATGTATTCTTTATTAATTGATTATAAACATAGGGAGAGAACTGACAAGGTAGCCTGGGTGGGGTTTGGGAGGAGGGGAGGAGGGAAAGAAAAGGCAACTTTTTTAAAGTTCAAAATAGTGACAGCCTTTTGCTTGGGCTGTCCACTGGGGTGGAGTGGCAGGGTGCACGGAGCCTCCACCCCACCCCCCCCCCGCGTTCTTGGGCGTCTGGGTGAGGAGGCTATGGAACTTGGGGAGGGGGAAGGGCGGTTATACCGGGGCTGCAGCGGCACTCTGTGATCCTGCTGCCATTCCTGAAGCTCCACCAGATGCCGGAGCTTGTCCGTTTGATCACGCAGCAGCCCCTGCAATGCATCCTGCCTCCTCCGATCTTTCTGCCGCCACCTCTCATCTCGAGCTTCCCTCCTCTCCCCATGTTCGTCCCTCCTGGCCTCACATGCATCCCTCCTGTCCTCACGTTCACTGGCAGCTTTCCTGTACTGTGATACCATGTCCTTCCACTTGTTCAAATGAGCTCTTTCATTGTGGGTCGATTCCATGATCTCAGAGA